TCATCGAAATGATCTAATCGATAGCCTCAAACGGCCACCATTTTATATTAACGGCTACAGAGTACTTCACCAAATGGGTAGAGGCCGCATCATTTGTCCAAATAAAGGGACAACATGTTGCTCGTTTCATAAAGAACAATATTGTATTCAGGTTCGGTGTTCTTGAGTCAATCATTACTGACAATGGATCCAATCTCAAAAATGAGAAGGTCTCTAAGGTGTGTAAAAAGTTTGAGATAATGCATAAATTCTTCACACCTTACTACCCTCAAGGAAATGGACAAGCAAAGGCTGCAAACAAAGGACTTCTCAAAATTATAGACAGAATTATAGAAGGTGGCAAAGATTGGCACGAAAAGCTAAATGACGCGCTATGGGCCTACCGGACAACTGAGAAGACTCCTACGAACATGAACCCGTACTCTTTGGCGTATGGTATGGAAACAATATTACACATTGAAGTTGATATACCGTCTCTCCGAGTGCTTATTCATAAAAATTCAGATAAGGAAAAAAAAATCGAAGCACGAATCGCTGCTCTCATTAATTTGGATGAAAGACGACTACGAGCAACACAAAATATTATTGCTTACTGGCGTAGAATCGAGAGAGCATACCAAAGTAAAGTTGCTCTACGACAGTTCAGGGAAGGAGACATGATACTCAAGAAAATCTTCCACACTCCTGCAAACCCCCTTTCGGCAAATTCAAACCTAATTGGGAGGGGCCATTTGTTGTTATTGGAGTGCACGCAGGCAATTCTAACAAGATCAAGAATCAAGAGGGGTGCGAGCTCAACGATCCCATCAATGCGATGTATCTCAAAAAATACTACCCGTAATAGGCCAAAAAGAGTAGTGAAAACCTGACAAGGCATCAAAAAAAAAAAAGGATGTGGTGAAACTTGAGAGGGCATCACGAGTAAAACAAACAAAAAAAAACTCCAAGAAGGAGCTTCTGATTCAAAAACACTCGAGTATAAACAAGTACTTGCAAGTTCTAACAATACGACACAAACAGATCCTGAGGACGAAGTCTCCTCCTAAACCTTGCAGGTTCCCCACAAAACCAACTTAGAAAGATGGGGGAGCGTGATATGAATGGAAAACCGAAGTGACTTCGATGAATCCTGGAAGAACATCAGGACCTCTCCAAGATGGAATCTCAGCAAGAATCTAGAGACCTCTTCATGGACCCACGCAACATAGGATGAAAGCTCCAAAGGTAAAAAGACAACTTCAAGACTTTTGAGTTCTCACGATCCCACAAGGAAATCCTTGCATCATCTTTGAGTAAAATATAATAAAGAAAACGACTACCAAATGGGCTACAGGTGGCAAAACTATAAGGCCCATCCCTTTTAAAAGCATTTTTTAAATCTGATATTTAAAACTCTCCTTTCCAAAACCTTTTTAGAAAGGACTTCCTCCATCACTACAAAAAGTTAAAATGTTAGTCGATCTGGCCTCGTTCTAGAAGCCTACTTCCTATAGCTGTTATGAAGGCTTCAAATTAGCGAGGCACTCCATAGTTGTATGAGTATAACTACCAACTACCACATATCGAAGATGGGTGAACCTCACCAATGACGATATTGGCTAGTTTGGGAGCGTTTTTCTCTCGACAGGATCCCCTGAGGTGAAATAAGGCAAGCTCATCCCTGTGTATGCGTACGATGTCTCAAATTCCAATTTGGAAAATGTAAAACTCGTAAGACGTAAAACAGTCGAGCAGGATAAACGTCAAACTCGTGCAACGTAAAAGAGTCGAGACATGATAAGCGTCAAACTCGTGCGATGTTAAAGAGCCGAAAAGGGATAAACGTCAAACTCGTGGGACGTAAAAGAACCGAGACAGGATAAGCGTCAAACTCGTGCGCTGTTAAAGAGTCGAGACAGGATAAACGTAAAACTCGTGCGACATAAAAAAACCGAGACAAGATAAGCCTCAAACCCGTGCGACGTAAAAGAGCCGAGACATGATAAGCGTCAAACTCGTGCAATGTTAAGGAGTCGAGATAGGATAAACGTCAAATTCGTGTGACATAAAAGAGCCAAGACAGGAAAAAAAAATGTCAAACTCATGCGACGTTAAAAAGCCGATACAGGAAAAACATCAAACTCGTGCGTTAAAGAACCGAGATAGGAAAAACAACAAACTCGTCCGACGTAAAACAACTGAGATAGGGACCGTCTAGCCTCGTATGACGTGAACGATCGGGTGTATCTAGGGCACAATCACCCTGTTTAATGGAAAAATGTCAAACTCGTGCGACATAAAAGAGCCGAGACAGGGACTACTCAGCCCCATATGATGTGAAAGGTCGGGTGTATTCAGGGCACAACCACCCTGTTCAATGGAAAAAAATCAAACTTGCGCGACGTAAAAGAGCCGAGACAGGGACTGTCCAACCTTGTATGACGTGAAAGGTTAGGCGTAACCAGGGCACAACCACCATATTCAATGAAAAAATATCAAACTCGTGCGATGTAAAAGAGCCAAGATAGGGACCGTCCAGCCCCCTATGACGTGAAAGGTTGGGTGTATCCACGGCACAACCACCCTGTTTCAATGGAAAACGTCAAACTCGTGCGCCATAAAAGAGTCGAGGCAAGTACCGTCTATCCCTGTATGATGTGAAAGGTCGGGTGTATCTCGGGCACAGCCACTCTATTCGATGGAAAAATGTCAAACTCGTGCGACATAAAAGAGTCGAGGCCTAGCCCGTATGTTGCTAAAAGATCGAGTGTGTCCACAGCACAACCACTCTGTTCGATGGATTCCGTCTATCCCCATATTGACGTAAAAGGGTCGGGTGTAAGGTCCATCGCTGCATGACGCTAAACTGCTTAGAGGGCTCTATGGTTGCAGGAGTTAAAACTACTAACCAACCTTGTTTTTTGAAATATCTTTCTCTTTTCAAATTTTTCACTATATGTCATATGTTTTCCAAAAAACTTAATTTCTTTGTTAAAATTGTAACCTGTCCTTGCTCCAGGTTATATTTCAAATCTCCCCTTACTTTCAAAAATTCTAAAAAAAGTCTTAAAAAAATGGAGGAGCTTGGAAACTCGTATATGATGATTACCGCATTGCCACAATTACTGCATTGCTGCCTGGTCTCTCACTTCGGATTTGCCCAAATAAGTCTCTTCTCAAAGAAAGCCTTTTCCTATAGAAAGGCTTTGGAACCCTAAGGAGATCACAGAAAATGTCAGGGTTAAAAATTCAAACTACAAAAACCCCTGAACTTAAGTGGCATGACTAGAAAATTCAACTCGAGTTTAAAACTTGTGTAACTGACCTACATCTCACGCCCAAAACCCTAGGAGGAAAAATGCCCTAGGTGGGTGAGCTTGGTGAGCACAATACTTGGAGGGATAGTTGGTGCACCCCTTGACCACGTGACCTCGGGAAGAAATTTAAAATGTCTGCTTTATCTTTGACGTTCACCTACCCTCGAAGGACAGGGAACATCAAAGTGTCTACTTCTATGTCACTCACCTTACCCTCGAAAGATAGGGAGTGCCAAAGAGGGGCAACTGTAGATACCACATTTTAAATTTGACAATTTATATGGTTCTCTGAACCATCAGGACCACATTATCCTAGTTGACCCAAATTAATTACCCTCAAAACTACCCAAATCCTATCCCAATTTGAAGTATAGCCTAAGAGCTTTCCAACGGTTCAAGAATCGCCTGAATCAGACCTAGAAATAAAACGATATAACAAATGACAATTTAGTCCCTATGAGACCAAAGTGCCTAGCCGCGGTCTGGCCTGTAACGGGCTAGACAGACCCAGTCGAGGGCTGATGATGTAGTAAATGTGTTCTCTTTAATTAGATAAGGCTAAAACTTCAAGATAAATTTGAAAAATTTCGAAACAACTCCAAAACATTTAGGGAAAATCACCAATTGAATCTTATGAATACCCCCTCCCCCTAACCCAAGGGAAGAGAGAAAAAAAGACCCCTTAAAAATTTTCGAAATTAAGAAAATTATCCAAAAATAGGAAAAACCCTTAGAAAATACCTAAAACGTTAGAAAAATCCCCAAAAATCCTAAAAAATTAGAAAAAAATTTCAAAATTCATATTCAACCTCTGAGATCACAAAACCCTTAGAAAACTAAAGAAGTTTACCTCCAGACCCGGAGAAAAGCAGACAACTTTAGAAAAATCTCTAGATTGAAAACCGTAAAGAAGATAAAAACCCTAACCTCCTGAAGTCCTAAGCCCCAAGGCTGAGAAAACCTAGACCTAGGGCACAAAACCCTAGATAAAAACTAGAATTAGGGCACAAAAACCCTAGATCTAACCCTTTACACCAGATATCTGCTGGTCAACGTTCGAATCAGAGAGGTGAAGAGAACCAGTTCTGATACGGGCGAGCTCTCGAAGGCTCGGGAATCCTGGACCATCCGGCCTGGTTTGAATTATTTCTTCCTCTATCTTTTTTCTTATTTATACTGTTTGGCTTTTTTTATTTATTTTTTATCCGTTAACTTGTCTTAAAAATCGTATTTTAATGCTCTAGATCATGCTGGCTCTACCACATATCTGAGACTAGATCTACTTATTTTCGGGCAAATTTGGCCTCAGATCTTCGATCTGTCTCACTTTCTCTACCACTTTATTTACATCTTTTTAATTAGTTTAAGGTGTAAAAATTTGAGAGATCTTCAATGGAAGATCTGTCAGATTTTCATCGTAAACAGTATGATGACCCAATAGTCGAAAATTCGAGACAAAAACCCTACAACTAGGGGGCTGAGTTTGTAAAAAAATCAGTTTAAAAAGTGTGTGCAAAGAAAGTATCCCATTCTACTTCGACAAATCAATTGCACACGTAAAGATAAACAAATACCCCAAAACTAGGGTAGTAAAAAAAAAAAAACGAGTGGCGGGAGGGGCAGAATGAGAAAAGGAACAATAAACAAGAAAAGAGAGAGCCATATGTTTATATGTACTTCAAGGTCCATAATAATCACAAAAAAAAAAAAAAAAGGAAGGAAAGAAGAGGGAAAAAGAAGAAAGGTCACATCCTGGACCCCAAATCCTCCTCAACCACTGGTGTAGGAGTGCTCACCTCTCTCTCCAACCTCTGTCGTACCTGCCTCTAACTCCTCGTCATCCGAGTAGACGCCTGAGATTGCGACTGATTCCGAGTAGAAGATGGTAGCAGCACCCTCATATAAGGATTCGCGTCAGCCAAAGAAGGGTTACCACCCATGGCCAATAGAAGCCTCAACAATTTGCCACTTTTGTCTATAAGACCTTTCACATCTTCCAAAAGCTCATGGCATCCATCTCTGGCTGGATCCTATTAAACCAAAGGCACGACATGAGAGAAGTTGAAAAAAAAAAAAAAGGAAAAGAAAAAGGAAAAAAAGAAAAAAAAAGACAAAGGGATAAAGAAGGAAAACGTACCCTCTCTGATCGGTAGCGATCTAGACGTCTCTCTAAATTTACAATGAAGACGGGAGATGGTCCAGAAGGGTGGGAACAACAACAGAAGAAGACGATACCTATCGTAGTCTCTCCAGCTCGGCCCGAACTCTCTCCAGCTCATCCCTGATTGTATCTCGCTCCATTTCTGCCATGTCCTTCACCTCTCTCATCCCCTCAAAGTCGTGGTGAAGACTCTCGAGATCCTCTGCAATCGAATCTCGCTCCTCTATCGCTGAATCACGGTCAGCATGAAGTGAGGCGACTTCCACACCAGAAAATTGATTCCTGCCAAGATAGGCAGTCCACAGCTGTCGCATCATTCCCTCACCATGATTAGTCAGGGCGGCCACATCCCTCAAAACGACCTTGTATTTCTCCTCATATAAAGACAAGGAGATGCTCCCCTCTTCCACCTCACCGATAACATGAGCAATCCTGTCCCTCCACTCCTCCATCCAAGGAGTCATCTCTCTCATGTAGACATCCTCATCAGCCGTACTGATCATAATTGGAGTCCAAGGTGGGGTAATCTTTAACAAAGACTAAGGAAGGCCAAACTGACGACGTACTTGACCCGAAAAGTATGGCATCACCAAGAACATATAATCAAATGGGTCGTTATCCTGAAAGTCCGAGAAGACACAACATAGACTGATGGGATAGGGTCGACTCTCATAGGAGTCCAGTCGATCTGGAAAAGAAAAGAAGACAAGTCAACTCAAAGAGTGGGATCCATCATTCAGAGGAAGGAAAAGAGAGTCATGATTTACCTCTCCGGCAGCTTGGGTATCCAAGAACAACGAATAATACATTCTCGAAAAGATCTCCTCAGTCTCCCACACTCCATATTACCAGCGATGAATAGTCGGAAATGACAGTGCTGGTCGACTTGAAAGTGGGTGAGGAAAAGTGATATGTTCCCACTCCCAAACCTAGAGAAGAATTGAACAATCCCCCGAATAGCAGGCCCCCTTGGCGACACTACAAAGATGATGGTGTAACCAGCCCACAATCGCCGGACCCCAGGCCACTTGCTCAAGATAATCCAGCCTTCTGATCGCCCAAATCATCGATAAATGAGCTCGACCCTTGGATCGATCAGGAAACAAAAACTCATTGAACAAATATGTGAGAAAAGCCCACAAGGAACATCTCTCACCGTCTGAAAGTGGCCCATGATCGATGGTCAAATCCACCTCTTGTCGGATCACCTTTGGCTCATCCTCGATCATGGCCCACTCATGCGTATCTCGAATCCTCTCTCTCTCTTGCTCTCGCCACTCCTCGTCAGAAAGCAACGTTGGAGGAGGTACCGCATCCATATCTACATCGTCAAGCTTGGGAGAGTCACACTCAACTCCCTCTGGATCACCTGATGACCGGACACTCGACTCTGCCAAAGCCCGGACAGCCACTCTAGTTGGACGATGGCTAGATTCGCCTTGAACCGACCCACTCACACCAGGACCCCTCGACTCACTGCCCTCCTCCATAGGGGCCTTCCCTCTATGGGATGGCCTGCTAGCAGCGGAAATCGAAATGTGAGGAGCACGACCACCTGTCATCCCTTCTAAAAGATGGGAACACGGGTAAATTCCCACCTTAGCTTCCCAAGATGGATCTTTGATTCACTCATGCCCTTGATCTTTTCGTAAGGAATACCAAGCAATTCCTTACAATCAGAGGCATAACTAACAAACGACTTTGGAGTAATACTCAGAAAAGGCTCACCTCACTCTAAACCCCAAGAATCCGGATAACATCCTCAAGAGTTAGAGCAAGTTCGCCGCATTGTAAGGGAATCGAGCCAGTCTCTGGTCTATATCGAAGGCATAACTTAGAGATCAAAGCACAATCCAAGTTAAAAGGCCTGATCCTATAGACCTCCCACAAACCAATCTGGGCAAGAGCCTGCCTTTGCCCAGGAGTCAATAATTTTGCGCATTTACGGATAGTAAATAAGTGGGGATCTACAGTCAACATAGAACCCTTGCAAAATAAATTAAAATAAAATAAAAATAAAAAAATGGGGAGAAAAACCATCAAGCTTTCAAGCATCAAACACCAAAACAAAAAGATGATAGATATATATATATATATATATATATATATATATATATATTATATATATATATATATATATATATATATACACACACACACACACACACACACACACACACACACAATGCCCCTTAACCAACCCCCCAAGGCGTCTGAGGTATCTGGGTGCCCATTCTACTAGGCGGCTGGCGCCTCCTTTTTGAACATTGATTCTCACAAATTGCTCACCATGAGAGGTTTTAGGAGCAGAGGTTTCCTTCAGCTGGGAGACCCATTCCTGGTTAGCAGGGAAAAAGGTTGGCAGAATTGAAGGTTTCAAAGCAGTCCTTAGCAACAACACTATCAGGTGCTAGTTTGAATGATGGTTTGATTCTTTGAAATTTCGTGCTGATAGTGAGATCCTCCAACTAGACTTCGAGGCAGAAACATATTTCTGTTGGTTTCTCAAAATATGTGTGAGAATTCTTTTCTTTTATAATTTATAAGTCAGAGTCCTTTGATTCTCAATCTAAAATGTGAAGTGGATAGCATCCCAATTCAATATATTGATCTTCCTTTATGATCCAGATAGCGAACTAAAGCCCTGTGGGATCAAATGTTGGAGAGGCTTAAGAGTAAGTTGACACTGTCAGAGCTGATGGATTTATTCCCATTAGAGTAGTCCTAAGCACTATTCTGGTATACTATATGTCTTTACTTGGAGCTCAGGCAGGGTGGTAGTCAAGTTAGACAAACCCAGACGATCTTCTCATGGCGAGGGTTTGAAGGAATCATGATTTTAGGAAATTCCATCTGCTTAAATGGGATAAACTATGCAAACCTTAAGAACTTTGACAGCCTTGCTACTAGAGGACTGTGCTTTGTCAAAATTCTACTATTAACCAGAGGTGGCCCTTGCATTTTAGGACCTATGATGCTTAGATACTTCAAGATGAGTGTCCTTCTATGTCAAATACCTCAAAAGATGTATTTGAAATAACAGAAGATTGACATTTTAGCTGTGCCTACAACTGTATTGTTCGTTGTAGTTTGGGAATGAGTTCAGCAGAGATACTTTACAGCACCATGGTCTCCACTTTCCAAAAGTCTGCCTTATCTGTAGAGAAAGTTATGGTTGTCTGATATGTGATATCTATAGCCCATATTTGGGATTTTTCTTTTATACTGTGGTCTGTGGCTTTTCTCCTTTGTTTATGGAAAACCCGTGGTAATCAGTGAGAGTGCATCCTTTGGAAAATAGGCCCCATGGCTACTTTTTAAGGTGCCGGGAAGCAGAGCAATTTATTGCACTTTTATTAGCATTTATTTGAATTGTGACTATATTTCTTCATGGTTCTGAGATAAGCTGATCTCCTAGCCCCTAATCATTTGCAATTTACTCTTGGATCTAGTTTAAGACTGGTCATTGGTGCAGCGTACAGGGGCTTGAATGTTGGAACCTGTAAGACCTTTGACATGGCGACCCCCATTATTTGGATCTTGGAACCTAGCTGGACTGGGTTGCTTTAATCTGAAGTCACTGTTGGATGTTTGATTGACTTTCATCTGGCTGAGAGGTTCATATGATGCTAAATATAGAGTATTTGGTCCTTCTTACTGTTCTCGGGCCCCTAGTTCAATCTACCTCCTGCATTTTGAAGTATCTCATTGCCTTGCATAAACTCTAGTTATCAAGATGGTCAAATATCATTTGTCCTGGAGGGTTGCAGACATTTTTTCGAGATTCTCAATCTCCATCAAAGAATTTTTAGCCATCTTCTCTGGGATGTGGAGGTATAACTGTAAACAGTGAATCATTGGTGCCTGTGGGTCATGTCTTTCTAATGGTTACATCCTTAATGTTTTTTAGTTTGGTTGATTTTGTGCTTAGTCCTGTTTGTTTTGTTCTTTTTCAGCTTTGCATGGATTTGCCTTCATGTCTGTACATTGTAGGATTTGATACCATGCATTCATCCCATGAAATGATGCGTTACTTATCAAAACAGCATTTGTTATTCAATATTGGTTATAAATCACATTATATTTTTGTTGGTTGTATGATTCATGGGCTAGGTATTGTTCCGCTCATGCTGGACATACTTTGTGTAGTATTCTGTATGACATTTTGATATTTAATATTTCTTGTGAATAATTTGTTTGATGCATATTTTCACATAGAAGGCTTTATGAACTTCTCTTTACAGGTACCCTGATTTGACAGCGGGTGGAGTTCAGAAGGGTTGTCCAGTATGCCATGGGAATTGCAATTGCAATGAATGCTCAAGTGCTGTAGACAGTGTGAAGGTCTAGTCTTGAGGCATTCTGCCTTTCTCTTCCTGAGCTAGTTATTATTCCACCTTTTTGTGCCAATACACTAAATTGTGTTGCTAAGTGGTCTCTCTGACTCTTATCTCTTACTTCAGGATTCATTAAGGGAGGCAAATAAAGTGGATAAAATCCGGCACGCACATTATATGATATGCATGCTTCTTCCTGTGTTGAAACAAATATATTTTGAACAGAAGATGGAATGGGAAATGGAAGCCAATTTACGGGGTATACAAACAAGGGCAAGCTTTCTATGCTTCCCCTACGACATAAAACTTATATACTTCCCCTTATCCAACGGTCCATTCTGAATGGAGGGCTAAGATTGCCCCAATCACAATGTCATGTCTTTACATTATTTTATTTTTAATTTTTTTGTATAAACTATTTTGACACCAAATTTTGGACGTTCAATCCTCTATTAAACTTGCACTAGCGAAAAATATAAAAACAATGTTTCCAATAAAATAAAATGACCAAATACCCCTGAAAGTTTCAAGGGGTATTTTGGTCATTATATTTTATCCAAAAATTATTTTTAATATTTTTTATAGGTGCGCCCCAATGAGAAGATGACACGTACCAAATTTCATATTCATACAATTTTTATAAAAAAACTAAAAATAAAATATTTTGAGATGTCGGATCTAAGATCAAATGGTGAGTGGCTCTCTTGATCAAAATTGGACAGCTGGATGGAAGGGGAAGCATAGATCTTCTATGCTGTAGGGGAAGTATAGAAACCTTTCCCTATAAACAATGCTCTTTTCGGTTTTGTCTTCTGTGCAGTATAATACTGGTCCTCTGATATGTTTTCATATTAGCAGGGGAAGTGCCATCCGCCATTCAGATTCAACAAGTGGAAAGCTGTTGTGGAAAGCAACTATACTGGTATGTTTATTTATACTAAACTCTAGGTAGTATGCAATATAGATTTTGCACACTATCCCAGTGGCTACCTTTGAGAATCTAATATTACTCCTGCCCTTTTGGATCAGTGATAACTGCAAAACTTCTATAGTGGATTTTCATAGAAGTTGCTCAAGGTGTCATTATAACATTTGCCTAAATTGTTGCCGAGATATCCGGGAAGGTAAGTTATGTAGACTCATGGAAGTTAAGAGGCTCGAGTACCTAGACAGAAGCAGAGCTTACTCCCATTTTCGAGATCCTTATCGAGGAGAATTTATGCAAAGCCCCTTGGCATTAAGTCCTTGTCAGTCATTGCAGTTCTCTCCAACACCTTTATGTGAATGGATAGCTAACCCTGATGGTACCATTCCTTGCCCACCTGAGGAACTGGGGGGTTGTGGTAAATGCATTCTGGACTTGAAGTGTGTTTTCCCAGCCACTTGGATTTCTGAGTTGGAAAGAAATGCAGAGGAAATAGCTTGTAGTTATGACTTTCCCGACACATCAGATGTTTCTTCTTGCTGTACCTTTTGCTTTAAAGTTGGTAATAAGGTCAGTGAATATGATCAATCGCTACGGAAGGCTTCTGCTAGGGAACACTCTGATGACAACTACTTATATTGTCCAACAGCCCAAGATATCCAAGCTGAAGACGTTGAGCATTTCCAGCACCATTGGATTAGAGGACAGCCAATAATAGTTCGAAATGTGCTTGGAGATACTTCTAGGTTAAGCTGGGAACCAACAGTCTTGTTGCGTGCAATTTTTGACCAACGAAATATGGAACTTCAGAATGAAGTGAAAACAGTTAAAGCTATTGATTGCTTGAATTGGTGTCAGGTTGGGCTTTCTGACATTTTTCATGTTGTTAATCGTGTATGCTGTAATATAAATGTTGTTGACATTTTTACTTGATTATAATATAAATGTTGTTGACATTAGCACTTGATTATTTTATGTTGACAGTTTGCATCATGAAGTTTCTGGCCCTTATTTTATCTTGTTGACGATTTTGACTTCTGCTTCGAATACTTCAATTTAGTGAAGGGTTAATTTGACAGTATACTTGATCTTTGTTTATCTGACATCACATGTTAAATAGGAATTTTGAGTCCTTATCACAACTGTGGTCAGCATCTCAAAGCCAACTTATTGGACTGGATAGAGGTCACCTTTGTTCCCCAGGAACTCTTTGATCCGAGACCTTTATAGAGCATCTAATACAATGCTGGAGTTAAAACAATTATATCATCTAACATTGTGGAAACTGATTCTTCCTTTGGGATGTTGCTTTAGCATCTCCTTGACTGTTGATCTCACCCCACTGTACATTACTTTTTTATCACAAAAAGAAAGAAGCTGTCATATATGGACTGAAGGTAACTTTACTCAATCCTTGGTGAAAAACTACCAATTGGCGGTGCTTCTTCTCTAGCTTGTGCTTGTATAATCTCAAGCATAGAATTGTGGTGATAACACGCAAACATTCTTTCATCAATTAAACTGGGAGAAATAATATCTTGGGATATGTATCAAACTACACCTAGGATTTCAATTATTTAAAATCTTCTCCTTTTAATCTAATTTCAAATAGCCCATAATTCTTTTGATCAAATTTCAATTGCCCTTTAAATTACACATACAAATGGGTTTTGAAATTTATCAAATTAAACCAAGGGTAAAATCAATGTTCGAAAATTTGGTCGCCCAACCGCCTAGGTGGCCAATTGGCTAAATTGCCTAGGCAGAACCTAGGCGGGGCATCTAGGTGCCCGCTTTGGCAGGCAAGGTCAACACAGCCGCCTAGGCACCGCCTCAATGCAGGTTGCTGAGGGCAGAAATATGCCCTCGGCTACAGTCTAAACCCTTAAAACCAAATCCGAGCCATTTGGAGAGAGAAAAACTCTTTAAAAACTTCGATTTTGTGATTTATCAAAAGATTGATAAATTTCGATTTCTTTCGAAATCAAAAGCAATGCTTCGTGGTAGTTTTCGGAGCTTCTAATTGTCAATAGTGAGGACTTTTGGCGGCTGAGTAGACAGGCTGACATCATTTTCATTTTGATATTTTTAGAGCATTATGCCATTATGATATTTGATTAAGGTTTTTGATTTGTTTTGCTATAATGTAATAAATATGTTTTGAATCATTTGATTTTATTTATTTATTTTTACGATATGTTTACATGTTTGTAGTTGAAAGATTATGTTTTTGGTGATTAATTGATTATTAACTCATTTGGACGATGAAATTGGGCCTATATCGAATTCCTTTATGAATGATTGGTTCTTTTTTTGTACATTTTGTGGTGTTTTGATATCCTATTAGTTTTGTTTTACTTTTTTGATATTCTTACATATTTGTAGATGGAACATTTATCAATTTGGACGTATATTTGTGAATAGTCATAAACTTCGGATGAAATTGATATTTTGTGAATATTTGATATCCAAAACCAAATCTTATGGGTATTAATTAATAAATATAATAATTATTATATCTTGTATCATAATTCTTATGTGAATAGACCCTACCCATCCCTGTTCTTGGGTGGCCGCCTAAGCGGCCAGGCCCCCAAAATGCCTAGGCACCTGCCTATACATTTTTGAACATTGGGTAAAACGTTAAGTAGTTGAAACTTTTAAATGTATTCTGATAAATTTCCCAAAAATCTATATGTTGCTCATTTTATGTGGCCCTCTGTAACAAATATTTGCAGGTTGACACACAGGAACATAGATTTCCACATGAGATGTTCTTATAATCTCTGTTACTAGACATCTTTAGCATGCTTGTAACCTTAGTTCTTGAAAAGTCCTACAAGATTGTCTATCTAATCACCAAGGCCTTGGTTAGTCCTTTGAAAATATACTCATTTTAGTAGTCTGCTGCATCCAGCCATTACAACTGAAGAGATTTTACATGAATCATTCTGCAATTCAATTTATTACTGGATAGTGACCACAGATTATTGCTTAGCTGCTTGGTACATTGTGGGCGGTTATTCTATTCTCTTACTGCTTTATAACTTTGTTTGTAGTGGTAGAGCTTCTTCAAGTGGTGCTAACCTTTTGAAACTTGGAGTTGTTTTTCCTTTTGGGTGCATCTGCATATAGTTTGTTCCCATGAAAATGTTAATTTTTATCTGAGCTAAAAGATTCATTATGATAACTGGCAGGTAGATATCAGTATTGATCAGTTCTTTGAAGGTTATTTTGAGGGGCACATGCATGATAAAATGTCGCCTCAGATGCTGAAATTGAAAAATTGGCCCTCTTCTAAAGTATTTGAGGAACACCTTCCACAACATAGAGCTGAATTTATCAGTGCATTACCTTTTAAGGAATATACTAGTCCAAGTGATGGTCTCCTTAACCTGGCAGTCAAGCTGCCAAAGGATGTCCTGAAGTCTGACTTTGGCCCACGAACATATATTGGTTATGGGACTTCTGAGGAGTTTGGAAGAGGTGATTCTGTAACAAAGCTGCACTATGACTTATGTGATGTGGTATGTCCACCTCTGGCGATATACACATTTGCTATATTTAAATATACGCAGACGTGCACATTATCATAATGGGTTTTCATATTATTTTGTATTGTCTGGTCTCTTTGCTCATATTACTTACTTAGGGCCTCCTGGAAATGTAATTGGACCATGACTTGAAAAAGTATCAATTCCAAAGTACCTATTTCTAGTATTAGGGGGTATTGCTGTTTTTTTTCGCTGTTTGTCCATATGGATTTGTTAAATTATCCTTATAATATCGTAGTCTTCTTATTTTCAAGAACTTGGGTACTTTTTGAATGGATTTATTATTTTGCAGAAGACTTAGTTTATGAGTTTTATGCATTGCATTGGAGAACTGTTGAGTTCAAGTGTTCCTTTTCTTGCATGATTTCTTGTTCTTTGGCAGGCATTATGAGCGATACTGAAAAATAACTGTTTTAACAAATTCTCCATAAGAGCTGCATCATCTAGCAGTTTATTTCCATGTATATTTTAACATATAGGAATTAGATTTTTGAAGTTGCCCAGAAAAATCTGCCGGGTAATTTGAAATATTTGATGCGGGTGTTGTGGGGCTAGAGGACTTGCTTTTGTTTCCTGAGATGCTGGGATGGTAACAAGTACATGAACTTAGTACAGAGGACTTGCTTTTGGATTCCTCCTCTGTACTAAGTTGTGGGGCAGAAGTTGTCTCTTGATTCCTCAGAAGGTTTCATGAATTCCTCTCCTCCCATATGGACCAAAGTGTGGATGCTATGGAAGCTCTCCAAAGAAAGAGGCTTACCGAAGTGTGTGGCAGAGAGAAGTAGGAAGAGAAAAGGTCTTTGATGGTCCTATGGGTGACCTGTTGCCAGTCTAAGTCTCTTAGATGTTTGGCCCAAACTTCGGAGAGGTTGGAAGCTAGTCCATCATAGCTGAAGCCCATTAACTCCAGCTTCTCCTCATGGTGGGGTTCACCGTGGTCAATGCATCGAATCTCCTCATCTATTCGTTTCTAGGTCTCCTCCTCGTCCACAGGGTGCTAGCTTCTTTCTCCTTGTCCATAAGCTGCTGTGGTACCTTGTGGTGCAGATAAAGAGAGCTATCTGGGGCAGACTCTAAAGGAACGGCTTGGACAGTTGTGGTTGTGGATGGGGTCTATGGCAAGGTGATTGAGAGATTTTGAGGATGGGTAATAGTGGGGTTGAGGTGATGTGGGTCAGTATATGGCTTCTGGCAGATTGTAGTTGGTAGTCGGTTGGATGTTCGGGAGGGAATTGATAAGGGTAGATAAGCTAGAATATAGGAGCAGGTGCCCATGGTTGAGAGAGCAGGTCGGGGGCAGGGAGATTAGGGAGAGAATAGCAAGATGAAAGAGTGGTTTGTTTCGTTTTTTTGGTGGGTTTTTTTTGAGGGGGGGGGACGGTGTCAGTACTAGGGTGTTAAGCAATGTGTGGGGGGATCTTGAAGGGGTCTACCGTTGAGTTGAGAGAAGCGAAAGTGTAGGAGTGGGGACCAAAGAGATCATAACTTTCAAGAAGATTCTCAGCAAGGCATGGGAATTGGGGGTAAGTTAGCTATAGGAAGTGGTGGGGAAGGGTCATCTAGGGAGTTGGGCGAAAACTAGTGGTTTGTCCATAGGGCTCAGAGTTTAAAGGATTGGGTTGTGGAGCGGGGTGAGGGAGAAGATAGAGGAGAGGTAGGGGATGCAGGGAATGGGAAAAGGGAAGAGAGGTTGGAAGGGCTAAAGTTGTAGTAGTGGTTTGAAGGAGGGGAGAAAAAAAGAGTTATGAGTGGTGGGGAGAAAAAGGGAGTTATGATGAGGCATGGGTTTGTATGCTCAAGGTGGGATTGCCATGTGTGAGGATAGATGGGGGGACATGAGGTTGTAGGTTTGAGGCAGCTATTGATTGACAAGATGGAGGGTGGTAGAGGCAATGTGTCCAAGAAGGATAGAGAAGGATCATGGGAGGGTGGTCATCATGAGGGGGAGTCAGAATATCGATTCGGGGATGAGGGCTGCAGGTAATGTGGACTGGTCATCACGATGATGAACGAGAGTATTGATGGACTTGAGAGTGGTTGTTGACGAGAGAGGGTAAGCATCATCTCGTGATTGATGAGGAGGTTTCTTAAATACTCCCTTCAAGAGGTGTGTATCCAATGTGTGACTTCAGGCAGCAGAGAATGATGAAGTTACGCCTCAATGACTTTGAAGTGGTTTACAAGGTGGCTGGGCATTAAATGAGGTTGGTACTCGAGGTTTTTCATGATTGTCACGTTGGTTGGATCTAGGGTAACAAAAGTCGTTTTCGCAGTATGATGTGCGGTTGATGGGGTTGGGGTTGTGTTGCCGGCTTCAGACGACAAGAAAAGGTCCTGGGGGGGAGGGTGGGGGTGAGGTTGTGGGCAATGTGGCTAAGTTTGGGATTGAAGCAGGGCTGGCAGGGCCTGATAAAAGGCATTTAAGTAGGTGCATTGGGGTTCGGGTTTGAGATTTGGGGTAGGATGTTGTCTTGGAGGTTAGAGTTGGAAAAGGGTCCGGGGCATTTTGTGGTTCGGGCGTATGGCTAGGTGCTGCTGTTGGCCAGATTACAGGGTTTGTTGGGGGCTGGCAGACATGTGCCAGGTCTGCGATTGGAGAGGGGGGGGGGGCTGCGTGGGCGCGATGGTGCAGTGTGGGGCGGAGAGTGGTTGGATCCTATGCGTGTGGCTGTTCGTTTATTTTGCCATATTGCTTCCCTGGGTGATGTTTGGACTGGCGACTTATGCGAATCACCAAGTTCCATCCCCTGTCTCTGTGTTCCCAGCATCACCTTTGGGACGTGTTTGTGAACTGTGGCTCTTGGTTGGAGAGTGGTGGTTTGTGATAACAGAGGTTTGGTATGTGGTTTGTCTAGGCTGGATATTGAGACTGAGTGGCAGAGTTTATTGATTTGGATGTTGATGTGATCAGGCACTGTAGGTTTAGTTTGGATGATAACATATTTGAGAGGCAAGACTTTCGACTAGTTATACTCAAGTTTGATGAAAACTCCACAAATGTCGTATGGCTTTGAAGGGTGAGAATTGGCATTCATACAAAGGGATGCCTTGGATGAGGACCCGTTTCCTAATACGGATGATGGCCGAAAAAGATGGTGACTAGTGTTTTAAAATGCGGGATGCGTTCCCGTTGCAGGTTGGGGGGGGGGGGGGGTGCTGCCCGATGTGTTCCAGATGCGGGCACATCACCTCGATGCGGTCAATAAATATTAAAAATTCTAGAAAATATCAAAAAATAGGTTAATGAATGAAAAAACTATGGAGGTGATTTATGTGATCGTATGTGTTTAATTTATTCATTAACTCCAATATTATCATATATTTGGAGACTTTGAATCCCATTTTAAAAGACACTAGAAAATAGAAACTAGAAACTAGAAACTTGAAAATAACTTTATAGAAGCCACTAGAAGTCATCATATTATCATAATTCATAAACATCCAAAAACCATAATCGCAATTGCAAACTCCGCCCTTGAAACCAGTGTTCGCAAAATCGAATCGGAACAGTTAACCGGACATGGGGCTAGAAGCGGTTTAACTGGCCTAACCGGTAAACCGGCCGATTCAATTGTTCTAATTGGGCAAGTCCCAGGTGGCCAAAAAATTGTTGAAACAAATAAAAAAGATGCAAAAAACTAAAATATGAAAAGCGTATAAATAATGATAAAAACAAAGTGCATTCAAATGAAGTTGAAAATTAATAAAAAAATGAATTTAAAAGTGAGTATTAGTGACCAAAACAATTTTTAATATTTACCATAATGTAAAATATATTAAAAGATGTATTACAAATCAAATTCTTTATTTTTGGGATTTTATATACATTTTTTTGAATTTTTATTTCTAAAATACCAGCCGATCACCAAAACCTCTCGAAACCTGAGCTGGCCTTTGCCGGTTCCGATCTAACCGGTCGGTTACCGGTTAGATCGCCCGGTTTTTCTAACAATTCTTGAAACACTCGATATATTGACGAATCTATGCTCAAACTTCCCCAAAACAACGCCCAAGCTAATCCCTATAGACAACCCAACCAACACCAACAGCAAATCGACCATTTTTTGCAAAAAATAATTTCCACCTAAATTTTTTTCTTCTTCATTTAATCCGAAAACACCCACGAGTGTGGCTGTTTTTTGTGTTTTTTATTTAGGGAGGGGATGACTAAAATACTCATGCTTGTAGCACTATTTTTGCCCACAAGCTATGTAGTGCATATGCGCGAAGCACTATGTGGCCACATATGCAGTGGGATGTGGCGCATATGCGGACGCATCCCACCAAAGTGCATATGCGCCCCCATGCGATGCTCTTTGGGGAGAGTAGCGCATTTGAAAACAATGATGATGGCCATCGAGAGAGATACTTGTCCTCTTCTGAAAGTGAGGTTAGTATTTTTGGTGGCTTTATGAGCCATGTCCTCAGGGGAAGGTGAAAAAGTGGTATCCATTGCATAGAGTATGGCAGGATACTTAGGCTGAGTTCCAAGTGGAGACAGCCCATTTTCATATGTTCTTAATGTCATCCCTTGGGGGGGAGAAGCGAGCTGTCCATGAGTGTTTCAGGGTGCCAGTTTGTTTGTTAAGGAAACCTCTCTAGATTTGAAGAAGTTTGAGATGAGATAGGTGCAGACAAAAGGGTGTGTTTGTGAGTTGGCTCTCTGGGTCTGAGGTTGTGGAAGTTGTGGTTTGTGCGGCTTGTGTGTAGGTGTGGTTGCGTTGTGTGAGCTCCCTGGAATTGGAAGCAGGTTAGGTTGGAAGCTTCTGGTTGATTCTAAGATGTGGGTCCTTGGGGTCAGCTTCTGGTGTCTTGTGCTAGGGGCAGGGCTGGACCATTTGATTTGTTCCCAAGGTGATTTAAGTTCCAGTGTTAGTTGTGTAGGGGGGAATAAATCCTACTATTAACTATGGGGTGGGCATCTTTGGTTTGTTTAATGTACATTTTGCAAGTCTAGAAAGAGCAGGCAGCGAGGCAGGGTGGGGGCCTCCCTCTTTCCAAGGAGAGAGAAGGCAATGGAGAGGACAAAAGAAGATGAACTCGGAAGAAAGAGGAGAGAAGTTTGTGGGGTTTGGAAGAAGAACCTGGTAGTGGGGTGTCCATTACATAAGCTGTTTAACCATTCATGTTGTCATTTCCCTCCTTCGCTAATATCAAGACATAGTTCCCCCCCTTAACAGTTTAAACTCCTCTCAATGAAACCTGAATCCTTGCTTGTTTTGGCCAAATCTTTGTAGAGCTCTCAATGTATGGTAATGCTGGCACAGTTGGTGCCCCAGTCCTCAAAGAATACAAGCCTATCTGGTGCAAAAAAGATGAAATTTTACCCTAATTTTTGCAGATCCATGAGAAACCAAGAAGAATAGGGAGGGAGTCCCCTCCATTTCAATACTCGAATTGATTCTCCTCAAATCTAAAAAGAACAGAAGCAATTTTCAGGCCAATAAAACTCAATATTCCTGGTCATTTTTGTCGCAAAAAATGGACTTCAGGGGAGAGAGTGTGTGTTTCGTTTGATATTAAATGGACATGTGTTTCCAGAAGACTTGCAGCGAGTTTCGGTGATTTCCAAATTTTAGAATAGTTTCATCAGAAATTGAGGTTTTAAAATGGCAGCCAAAAAACATGCGAAAGCATTTTGTGTGGATTTCACAGGTTCCTTCTACATATCTTATGAAACATAGTCCACTTCCCCTCACCTTCATAGCATTATGAATGAGATTGCAGTTTCCACAAGTTCCTATCGGTACCCTCTTATTTAATGTCATGGAAATGTCCTGTTGGGGCCCCCCACTCATTCAATCACTTGCTTGGCTGCGCTGCTCCCCGAAAAGGCAGAGACGAGGAATCGTCCGCTCCCGTTCATGTGACGGATCGAAAAAGAAAGAAGAGAAAGAAACGAACTGGGAATTGGTGTACCTGAGTTTCTTTTATTTGTTTATCTGCTTGGATTTATCAGTCATTTAGTTCTGCCTCTTTGGTGTTTTTGCCTTATGAGTTGATTTTTCCTGGGTGAGCTACCTCTTGAGTTTATTTGTTTCCTTCTTGCTAAAATGGGTTGCATTTATATAAAGAAAACATAATTGTCATCACTGTCTTGAATAATAGCTTCATAATTTCACGAGCCTAATTGATGTTGCACATTTGAAATTAGGTGAATGTTTTAGCACATACTGCAGAAGTTGTATTTTGCCCCAAACAAGCTACCAAGAAAGAACGGCAAAAGAGAAAGCATACAAGTCAAGATCATAAAGATTTTTTTAGCACTAGTAAGGACCCAGCGGTTTATGAGATGCAGCCTGATGCATATTCTGTAAGAAAATATGTCGAAGAAGCTGACACTCTTAGCTCACTGACTGATATTGATGGTGGCAAGCCACTCCGGCCTTTACCCGCTGCTGAAGATTCACCTCTTTCTGGTGTTACTTCAAAATCCAGTGAAGACCTTGATATTGGTACTGCAGCAGAGAGAGATCTTAACATTGTATTGGATGATTTTATGTCTGTGGCCACCAAAAAGAATTATGTTGACAATGAAGAGCAAAAATCTAGCAATAGCAGTACTTCTCAAAGCTCTGAAAATTCTGAATGTAGTGGGACAATTAGTCAAGCAAAGTGCAGGGAACCTCCAAGCGTTGTTGGAAATTCAATAGCTGATTCTTGCGGCGCAATATGGGATGTATTTCGTAGAGAAGATGTTCCGAAGCTACAGGAATACCTTAGGAAACACTCCAATGAATTCTGGCATACATATTGCTCCCCAGTTAAACATGTAAGTGGACAGTATTCAAAATGGGAATTCTCATGTTCATTATATTATTCCTATTTAATTTAAAGCATTTATCTAATCATATTTTTGTCACTGTGACAGTTTGTTCATCCCATTCATGATGAGATTTTCTTTTTGACTGAGGCACACAAAAGAAAGCTCAAGGAGGAATTCCGTAAGAAATATTGATATTTTTCAATTTTTAGTTTGAGATAACCAAAAGAGACTACTACCGATGACTTTTTATTCTTTTTCTGGTTTACCAAATGTAGAAGTGGAGCCTTGGACTTTTGAGCAGCACATTGGAGAGGCAATCTTTATTCCTCTGGGGTGCCCGCATCAAGTTAGAAATCTTAAGGTGAGAATGAAGTTGCATGGATATCTCTTTGCTGGTAGTTTTGGCTGGCTCCATGAGAATGTCCTTATTGAGAAGTACTTTTGGTTCCATAAGCTTCTCTTGTCCCCAGATTGCAGATTTTGAGTATGTTAAGATTTTCTCAATATCATTGCTCATCATTACATGAGTGGCCATAAGTTGTGTTAGAAATTGGGGAATGCTCTTATTATTAGGGCAACAAACTCAGATGGTCCTTGAATCATGAGGTGGGAGTTTTATGTATTTGATACATGAAAAAATAAATATAACTTATCCAATTAGGAAAAATAAATGAAATTTTAAATGATTCCTAAAAACCAAAATTAATTGAAATGAAATTCTACAATATGTGAAAATTTTCATTTCTAAGAAATCAAATTTCCTACCCACCTCTGTCACAAAAAATAAATAGACAAATAAATAAATAAGTTTGCCTCCCAACCAGGATGAGATTTGGATTTAAAGATAACCATAGTAAGAGGATATATAGGACAAAAAATGCACAAGACACATTCCTCATGCATTGCACATCGTAAGCTTCTATCTAATTAATTGTATTGGTATGAGTGTGTAAGACTAGCAGAAGTAAAAGGTTGGATATTAAGTTAATAAATAACTTCGAAACATAAACTTCGAAGAAATTGAATTGTGTGGAACTGAGTCAAGTTGCGTCATTAACGGAGGAGGTACACATGAATTTAATTACGAATTCATGGATTCTTAGCTATCCGAGTACTGCTATGAATATAAATATATTGCAACTTTCAGAAATGTGAACACATGAGTTTTAGTTCTGCGATAGAGTTTTAATTCTGCGAAATCGCAAATTCTGAGATTCTTAGTTATTCCATAAGTTCTGCTATAAACGGTAAAGAAAACAACTTTCAGAAATGTGCGAGCAAAGAGGGCCTCTTTGTGTGAGTAATGTAGTGAATAATTTTGTTCCTTGAAAAGGTGATTATTAGTCAACCTAAAGATCCTCAAAATGCTAGATACTAAAGAGGAAGGTATGCTGTAAAATGACTATGTATTTCATTTTTCGTCATTTTTTACAAGTGTTCACAAACCCAAGTATATGCATCCCACTTGGCCATGGTATGTATGATTTAAGTTTTCTAGTCCTAGGTTAACCTGGAGTACTTGTCTTGTGCCTTCCCCACTGGCAGCTTATAACATGTTGGACCATAGTTGCTGGAAGCGGGAGCTGGTGTGGGAGTGGGGTCGGGTGTGGTTCATCCTCACCAGTTAGAAGCTTCCTTCTTCGGGAGTTGCTCTTACAATAAATATATAAAAAAATATGGAAATTAATAAAAAATACATAGTTGTTGGATGCGGGAGTCAGTGTGGGAGTGGGAACTAGATAGAAGCTTCCTTCTTTAGGAATGTTATAGAAGTTCTCTTACAATAAATATATAAAAAATTATGGAAATTAAAAAAAAAAAACACAATCTTAATAAATTATATTTAGGCTATATTAGATACACCATAAATATATTAGGAATATATGTTTCTTCTCAAGTAAAAAACCTATGCAATAATATACCAAAGTTATTTATTTGATCAATTTATTTAAAATTTTAACAGAAGGTACTAATGAATTTCGGCCAAAATAGGTCCTCTCCTTCTCTTGTCTTACTCCATTATAAATTAAAAAAGAAACCAAAGCATAGTAGAAAGGGAATAAATATGAGAGAAACAAGAGAGACGAGTTTTCGTACAAAGTTGCTAAACATGGACCCGATATCCCTTCTTTAATACAATTATGAAACCATTGCATCAAGGACTTTCTTTTTATGATTTTCCTAGGTTTGCACATGTTCCCCATCAAAGCAAATATGTTGTATGAGGATCTCCATCAATATTTCCTTACTTTTGATTGACATGCATTTTTAAGACTTTCCTTTTTCTGATGGGGTGGATTAAAGCATCACTTTCTCTTTGGAAAATTGGGGCCATCACTTGGTGTGATGGTAAAAGGCTCGGGTAGCCAGCGCAAGAGCGCTGGTTCGAGTCCTGAGAGCGGCCACTTTGTGCATAAAAAGAGAAAGGTTAGGACCGTTTCCAGCTCACCCCTCCCGGGACCCTGCGTAGGCGGGACCAGCAATGGGTTGCAGCTCTTTTTTTCTCTTTGTAAAATATACTGCACATGATTTTGTATCATATTTATTTTATTTTTAATTATTATGCATTTAAAATTTGTTTCCTTTTAAGAGATTTATCTGGCATGGGTGTGAACTATGTCAATAATTTCCTGAGGGAATGGGATCGTGTTCCCTCAATATAGGACTGGGATCCACTCGAGATCCCGCTTCAGAAATATGGGGTCGCTGGGATAGCCACCAAGTTAAGAGATCCTGGTAACTTTGTGCTGGACTTCATACTATTCGCTATATCTCCAAGAAACTAATAACACAAGTACATTCTGTTCCCAGTGCTTGTGGGACTCAAAACATGTTGGACTATATATCTTAATTGGGTATAATAGATCTCTATAGAAACTAGCATAAAACAAAAAGCTGTTTTTAGCTATTTTTGCCCCCAATAGGCTCATGCAAGTGTTCAAGGTCTCGAATTTTGGGGCTTGGGAATTGTTTTGACGTTTTCATGTTGTAGTCAATATGGGGTTTTGAATTTTACTTTGTTCTAGGATGAAAACCGTTAAAAAAAAAATTTTTAAAGTCAAGGGAAAAAGGACAACCAAATTTCTGCTGATTTCAGCCAAATTTGTACAACTGTAGGAAGTAGAGAAACTAGGTAACTTAATCGTGGTAAATGTGAACATTAAAGGGGAGGGGCATTCTTTATATATAATAAACTATATTTTCGTTTTTGCAATTTTCTAAAGAAAATATAAGTAGTTGCCTTTAATGCATTTGCTAAGTTTACGCAATTAAATGGACATGTGTCTAATGAACATGCAGACCACTGATGCATGCTCTAGGAGCATTTGTACATCTAACATACAAAGAACTGCATTACCCCTAGGGCAATGCCTGTGAAACTCTGTCATATTATCGGGGGATTTTCTTCCATGTGTAGATTCCTGGTCAACTCTTTGTTGCTCTGATTTAGATTTTTCGAGTAGAGGAAAAGCACTGTGTACTAGCTGATCTCTTTCTTTTTTTGTTTGGCTAAAATATGTGCTTTTTTTGGGTCTGATAATACTAGGAGAACAATGGCTGGAGATGGGAGTCCTCCTTAAGCCATCATATTTTCATTGGCTTTTTAGCGCATGGTGCATTTGCCAAAATTTGTCTTATAGTTATAGGGAAGCAACTCTTTTATCTTACAGGCACAAAACTCTTTTGAAGCCTTGGTAGTTGAGGTTCATGAGTTCCTCATGTGGTTGGGGCCAAGCAGATATTGAGTATGGCCATTTCAAGAACAATAACATGAGCATTTCTGAATTCCACACAAAGTTCAGGAGATGTCTGTTACTTTTGGAAGAATGTTAATATTTGTTTTTCTTATCTTTTTCATTCTATCTCTTATTTCTGCTTTTCGTCCTCCCAGCAGTTCACAAAATGGTTATAATGTTTTGCCATGCAGCTTGCTTGGTTTTTCTTATCTTTTTCATTCTATCTCTTATTTCTGCTTTTTTTCTGCTCAGCAGTTCACCAAATGGTTATAATTAGTATTGTTTTGCCATCCTGCTTGCTTGCCCTTTCTTTTAATTTCTTGTTAAGCCTTAGAATTCTACGACTTAATCCTTTTAGCCGATCCGAACTACTGGAGATTTGGCTGCACTGACATGAAATGCATTCCTTAATACAGTCCTGCCTAAAAGTGGCTATGGAATTTGTATCGCCTGAGAACGTGCATGAATGTATCCAGTTGACTGATGAACTCCGGTCACTGCCAAAGAATCACGAATCTAAAGAAGACAAATTGGATGTAACGTCTCAATTTTGTTTTCTTTTACCTTTGTAAATTCCCCTTCATAGCTGATCCTATCTCTCATGGCATTACATTTCTTTCTGTTGCCTGAACTTGGACAATTAGGTAAAGAAGATGACTCTCTATGGTGTTTCTGCAGCAGTCAAAGAAATTCATGAGTTGACATCACTTGCCAGGTAAATGTCTTTTAACATGATTGTGGGATATGATTTCCATATGAATATTATTATTTTCTTGGAATAATTTTCTGTTTGATGCAAATATTACCTTCCCATGTTTCGGAACAAATGTATTTTGGCCTTTCCCGTGATTGATGAGTCCAAGCAGTGCTTATCAAAACATTGCAGTCTAATATGACATGATTATGTTAAATGGACATTAATTAGGGGCTCTAGGAGACAAATGAATCCCATGTTCAGTGCATTTTAGTTGCAAGCATTTTTATTACATGGTCATGGTTATTATGGTTCTCTATTTGAAATCTAGAAGAATAGGAAATCAAATATGTTTAAATCAACAATAGGACATTTCTGGAGGCTTTTTATGAAGAATTCACTGGACAAATGTCCAAAACAAGGAAGAATATTTTCTGATAAGAAGATAAGAAAATGAGTCTCATAACACTTAGCATGCATAAAACCAAAAAAGTATTGAGTCATGTTACGCATAGCATACTTAAAGCAGTTGTAAGGGATGACTACATACTCACCCCCCTAATAAAAAGTGATGACTGCAAGCCTCCTGTGCATTAACATTTAACTAGAGGTATCTTAAACGTATTCAATAAATGGTGTGGTTTGTATAAGGTTGCAACCTTAAACAATCCAAATAAGGCACACCTCTAAATATTTTCATAAATGTAAATTTGATATACAAATTTGTTAGGATGGCTTGAGAATCAATTTTCATCTCTAATTATGAAAATTTGAACTTTAAAAATGATTCAAATCAAGTAAATTTATAAACACATGAAAATCTTGAAAATAGATGGTCCAGATAATGTGTTGCAAGATACACCATTTCGTGGATTCAAAATCTTTTGTTATTTTCATTTTCATACATCTTGATGTTGAGATGATCAACTAGAGGGTTTTCCAATATGCGAACAACTTTTTATGATGGATTTTTTAGGTGCAACTTTATTTCTACATTTTAAGGTTGCAACCTTATATAAAATTTTTCCTTCAATAAAATGTTTGATTGTTTTTAAAGCTTGCTAACAAGTATTAACAAATGTTAGGCAACACGTCCTTGGAAGCTGTGAGCCTTACCATGAAAGATTAACTTGAGCAACCTACATTTGCCAAAAGAGTTAGATGCGTCATTTAGAAGTACTGTAATTGCCTCCTTGCACTTCTTCCCTTTCCTCAGAAGCGTGCGTACATCTCATTATATCAGAAATTTGTGCCACAAGTTTCAAGAAGTGCACATAGTTTCCTAGTGTAGAACAACATAAGCTAGCATTGCACTCTCTACATATTATTCAGAAGCTAGGAATTTAGGAGTTTTGGGATTTTAATGGAGAAGATATTCTTGGTCAACTAAGTCAACTTGTGAGACATCAAGGTGAATGTGTAGGCCAGAGAAATGTCTCAAGTTTCTTGTGGTAAATTTTTATTATCAAATATCATTGGAAATATTATAAAGGAAATAAAAAGAAATATTTTTGACAAAAATCCAACAATTGAAATATTGATTTGTCTTGGTTCATTGCTATTCAACATATAAAATATCCAGTTATCAAGTTCTTGGAATGACCGGTTGCTTATTGCAATGAAATTTTTGCATGGCAAAGAAAAATGATCTTGGTTCATAGTTTTCTTAAATGTGAGTGCCAGTGTATCACATATGAATGAATAAGAGCCAAAATTTGGATTTGGAATATATTTTGTCTTTTAGTTCCTTTTTCCAGGAATTACTTGTAACCATCTGTTTCATTTCTATCCATTTCCGAGACATGATGAATTGAACTTTCATCTAGCCTCTTATTGCTTATGCTAAGTCTTGGAGGAACACTTGAAAGGAGAGCTTACAAGCTTTCCTGGCTGGAAAAAATAGTAAAGTTCACCGTTAGCGTTGCAACTCTGTGGCACATGTCAATGTGCTACTGATGTTCCTCAGCATGTTTCTTTGGGGATCTTGATAGAGCCAGGGACTTTTTTCTGTTATGTATTGAGCGAGGCCATTATTGCCAGCTTGCCATGTCTTTAACGCAGCATCATCATCATAAAATAGAGAGAGAAAAACAGAACAATCTGTTGGACACCATTTGTTAAGCTCTGCATGCCATTTCTGTGAAGTAATAATGCTCACAAACTGCCATGGCTTGGGCTGCGGTCTCTGCGATAAATGCTTTAGAAATAAATGGATACTCGAAGAGTACCTACAGCCACAGGAGTATATGAGATATCAATATCTTAGCAATGCAGCACTAACCCACTTATCTATGAACATAGCTAAGTATTCTATTTCACCATAATAACAGAATACTAGGATATAAAGCACAACTCATGCGTTGTACAAATAATAACAAGTTTGGTGTGAGTGTGACTACTGACTACTCTTAGTAATGTTTGGACTTCTCAAATAATTTATATGACATAAATATAACTTTAGAAAAGTAAAGGGGACGTGGGAAATTGATCATTTCTTTTTATTATGGCAGGGACGATGTGAGACTTGCGGACCTTAAAATCTCAAACCAAAGATTGGCATGGGCTCCACAGACCCCTTCACCCCCATTGGTTCAGCCTCGATCACTATGCCTTGTATAGTTTGTTGTTCTTCATAATTCACTAGGCACATGATAGTGCCAGGCGGAAATTTTGATATTCCTATTCAATCGCCTTCAATTATTTTTTCGGCAGAAGAATGAGAATGCATTAGCCCTATAGACTAGTGTTTTGTAGATCCAATAATTAGTCTGGCATACATGGAGAGTGGGGGGCCTCACTTCTCAATCTTTGTATATACAACTTTATTATTTTTTTTTTTTTGGATATTTGGGAGGGAGGGAGGTAGGGGCGATGGTTCAGCGTGCATTTGCAACTGGGACAATTTGTTGCAGTTGTGAACACCTTAAGGACCGACTGCCTATTTCCGCAAAAGCACGTAATTGTTTTTTATGAACTCAGCTAACATAATTCATCTCACAGTGAATTATTATACATTTGTCTTTTGGAGAGACCTGCCATTTTAAGGTTGAATACCAACTATAAATACTTTTAAATTGCTTAAGCTCAAGCACAACATGGACTATCATTTTTATAGGATTTTTAACGCTTGCTTACACATTTAATACATGTCACTTCTACTGATAATTTAGGAACTTACATGCTTCAACTTGATTTTTGTTTTAAAATTTTTTAATATAAAAGTACATTGTCATTTGATGTTCAACCTTTGCATTTTTTTTGAAAGCTTAATTTTGAGATTGGGTGTTTCTGTTTCAAATCTCATGTGTCAAAAGTAGACATGTAACATAGCAGCAAGGAAGAGGTAATAAAGTCTCTCTCTCTCTCTCTACGGGACTCTGGGTTTATCTCACATGCTGAAAATGCAGTTTCAGCACTGCAAGTATTGGAAATAAGATATGTTCAATTTGGCGATTATGGAAAGAACACTGGAAAAGGGCTTCCTGCCCTTTAAGCAGTCCAGCATTACATTTTTTGGAGTGTCCATCTTCAAGTCTTCAAAATTTGCCGAAGTATTTCTTGGAGTTTCAGGAGTGACATCTGCATGGTTTTTGGATTTTCGGGAGTGGATTTGCACACCATCACGAGCTACTGAAGTAATGGAGTTATTTAGCGGGCGCATATTGAAGGCTTGAAGCCACCTTTACAAGATACTAGAATGAAGCCACTTTTTCCAGATACTGCAATTACACCTCGTTTCACTGTAATTCCATATGGTCGCACACTAAAACACGGTGCATCCATACCGCTGTTCCACAAGAACAATTTCTCATAGAAGAGATGGATTTGGAGCTTTAGGAATGCTTGTTCGTGTCATCTCTACATTTGATCTGGATTATCCATTGATGATTGAAGAGATTTGCAGAGTTTTAGGAGCTCCAAATCCAGTTTTTGATATAAACATGGATTTGCAGGTAGTTTAGAGTGGTTTTGGGTCCTCATTCTATCAAAAACTGTGGCGGCTTCACTAGAACAGCAAATTTAGGTTGAGAAGCATGTACACAGAGAGATTACCTTGTTCTATCGAGGTCGTCTGGAAACAACAGAGATTTAAGCGAGTTGGTCTTGGATGGAATAAGCAAAGACATGAATAGCTTTCTGTATATTCTGATTATAAAAAAAACTCTATAAAATCTGATAGGCCGGCCTCCTGTCGTGGAGGATATACCAAAGGCATAATTGGGTGCAGCGCTGCCGAAACCCAAACAAGAGAGATGAAAATTAGGTTTTGGGGTTCACCAACGCTGCACTCAATGATGTTTCTGGTTTTCCTCATATTCTCTCCGATGCTTCTTCTTCAATCACCAAGGTGGGTTGTTATTTATATCTGATTGGTCCGTCCCAAAATGGTAGTACATTACTATTACATTGCAGTGTTTTGTACTATCCACCCCATCATCGGGGGAAACAAAAGAAAGTATGTGATAGTACTTAATTTTTGGTTTTGGTTGGACTGTGTCAAAGTACTCCATCGTACTGCGTACTGTTTCCAAGGTCCAAAGTGGGGGACCATCTTTGTGTTTGCTGTTCAATTATTTGAAGGTTTCTGCTCATTTAATTTGACAAAACGGGGAAGCAGGTATGAGAATGACTTAGATTTCCTCTGACATTTTTTTTCTTTTTTGACCGATATAACTATTGTACTAATATCCTCTTATATTGTGTTTCAAACTTGGCTGAGTTACTCGGCCTCGGCCAGTATGTCCGAATCTCGCGGAAGGTAGGGAGGTGTACTACTCGGCCTCTCTAAAATGTGGAGTACTAATCTCCTTTTTATTACTCCCTCTCTCTGTTTCAACCAGTTACAGGCACTCTCCCTCTCTCAAAAGAAAGTACGTGATGGTACTTAATCTTTGTTTTTCTTATTTTTTAGGGGGAAAGGTTTCTATACTTCCAGCATAGAAGATCTATGCTTTCCCTACCATCCAGCTGTCCAATTTTGATCAAGTGAACCACTCATCGTTTGATCTTAGATATGATGTCTCATAGTATTTTATTTTTAATTTTTTAATAAAAATTATATGAATATTAAATATGGTTAGTGGTATCTTCTCATTGGGGCGTATGTATAAAAAATGTTAAAAATAAATTTTTGATAAAATGTAATGATCAAAATACTTCTTGAAATTTTCAGTGGTATTTTGGTCATTTTATTTTATTGAAAATATTTTTTGAAAAGTGCAAGTAAAAATAGAGGTTTGGAAGTCCAAAATTTGGTGTGAAAATAATTCATATAAAAAAATTAAAAATAAAATAGTGTAGAAAAATACATAAGTTTTATGTTGTAAGAAAAGCATATAAAGCTTGCCTTTGTTCGAGGGACCACGTGAAAGTATTCGTACTTTCCAATATTCAAAGTGGGGGCCCTTGTAGTTATAGTATTGGTTAGGATGCTCCTTTCCTGTCTAAAAATGCACCACCCGCTAGCCTTTTCTCCCAACCGTTGTGGACGTGTGAGCATCATCGACCATTTCTTGAGTAAAATGTTCATATTGAAGTGCTCCGAAACCAATTAATACTCAATTGAGAGAGGTAGTTATGATGCTTCTTTCTTATCTAAAAAATGCATGACCCGCTACCCTTCTCTCCCAACCGTTGTGGACGTGTGAGCATCGTCCATCATTTCTTGAGTAAAATGGCCTCCTTTTCAATAGGAAAATTGTTTATTATATGTCCTTAAATATTAAGTTTTAACATCCATCTAAAAAATAGATTTATTAATAGGGCCCCATTTCTACATATGAGGGCTTGGCCACATAGAAGCCGGGTCTTTTTTAAAATGAAAATGATAAATTAGAGATGAGTGAGTATACTGTGCTTTTTTTTTGGGAGCATACTATATATTTACTAGAACAACGCGAGCCTGAGAGAAATTTTTTTTTTATTTTGAACTTTTGGGATCTATCTAATCAAAACTAGATGATTATTTTCAATGAAGAGAATTTAGATTTTGAGTTCTTAAACATCTAGACCATTTCCTCAAAAATTGGATGGTTACCACTGCAATCTTGGGATGCCATTTATTATAGGCACAGAGAAAGTGAGAGCTTTTTTTTTTTTTAAGGCTGATTGCCTAGTTTTAGAGATTACATCCCCAAAATTTGGGATCTAAAAAGATATTGAAACATATACAATAAGACGATTTACCTTTGTAAAAGGAGGTCACATCCACTTATGGCTATTAGTTTTGAAATTGGAAGGCTGATAATGCATCATTGATTAGGCTCAAAACTCAGAAAAATCTTTTGAACTATGTGACATACTTTAAGCTGTCTGATTTGACATTTAATAGTTAGGATTAGTTGTGACCTCCTTATTCAAAAGATAGTTGGTCTCGTAGCATACAATCCCAAAATATATTTCTCTAGGTGCCATTTGGATACCTGGAAATATATTGTCTGTGAAATATATTATTGACGTAATACATTATTGCGTAATACATTACCTGCAAATGGATTGTTACTGTTTGGGTAGTATTAAAATGCAACATGAGAAATACATTGGTAGTGTTTGGCAATGTCTGGAAGAAATATGGGAAATGCATTACCAATATTTTACCAGCACTTGCCTATAAACTATTATTTCTTTCTTTTTTTGTCACAAAATTCCATTGAAATGCGGAATTAAAGTCATCATCACACCATTTCAAAAAGATTTTCTAATAATAACATCATCACCATTCCAAATTTTTTTTTTAATAATAACTTGTACCATTCTAAAGTCATGATGACACCATTTTCTACTTATTTTGCATTCTTTTGAGACTTACATGGAATCACATGCCTTATAATATGATCAGACTTTGGTTTCAACATGACACGAAATTGAAAATCTTTATAGTAAAAATTAAAAAATAGGAAGAAATTTGATTAGTAAACTAGAATGTGTGGTAATTAAAAAATTTTGGGGCATTGGAGGAGACTAAAGATGTATCTTATTTCAATTGAGCTTTTACTAATCTATTATGAGAATTATGTTATGTGAAGTTTTTTATTATGATTGTGTAGAGCTTACCAGGACTCTCCTCCTTCTCTCTTCAGGTTAGCAGCTAAAAGAAAAAAGTCCAGCTAAAAGAAAGGGGGTTAAAGAGAGGGAGCCAGGCTTAGAGAAGGAGGGAGCACATATGCAAACCAAACATTTACCAAAAATATTTTTTTAAGTTGGGTATAGGGCAGAGAATCAAAGATGCATAATAGACTTTTCGCCCATCACCACGTTCAATGGTTTCGTGATTTTTGAAGAAATCTCGGATAATCTTGAGTAATCTCTTTCCATTTCTTTACTATACCCAAAGTAATGGTTTTCATGTTTTTTACGCTTAATCTCTTTTCATTTCCTTATTATTAAAGTGTGCCCAAACAGTATAAATGTCACATTTCCTTATAATCTATTGTCATGTAATAAATTTCTAGGTACCCAAATCTGTAAGGTTTTGCCCAAACGAGTAGGAAATCTGATTGGGATTAGAGATTAGAGTATCATGTTTTGTATTACTAGAAGAAAATGTATATTATGCCCCTATAGAAGCATACTATGCACTTGCTTCCTTAGACATAAGACTAACTTGGAAAGATTTTCTTGATCCGAAACTTCTAGAACCACCTAGAAAAACTTGATAATTATATTCAAAAGGAAAAAGTTGAATTTTGAGTTTTGTAACACTTAAATTTCACCCTTCAAAAATTGGATAATTTATATTAAATTTTGAAGCATTATTTCTTTAAAGTCTTTGGATAATACAATTTAGAAATTCTTTTATTGAGTATAGCATATGGGTTGAATAGTCATCCCCAAAATTTTGGGTTCTAGAAATCTTCCTAAATTGGATTTTGCCTGAGGGAATAAATGAACAGTATGCTCCCTCGAGAGCTTGGAATCATTTTGATTTAAATAATATTGATGGGAAATATTGGTAATCCAGTTCAAGGAATCTTTCACGGTCATGCCGACCATCATCGGCACATGGTCTGATGCCAAAAGCACATAGGAATTTGTTTAACGGTGAGGTTTGTATAAGTCGTGAATTTTATGTTGTCCAAGTAAAGCGCACCTCTAAATTTTGTCAAAACACTTAGTTTTGGTGTCAAAGACCTTGCAATGACTTAAAATCTATGTTTAAGCCTAATTATAAAATTTAAAATTTAAAAAACGGTACAGATTGAGCAAATATATAAACACTTAAAAACATTGAAAGTAGACTGTCTAGATAACGTGTTGTCAAATATATTATTTTTAGGACTTGAAATTTTTTTTTAACTGCCTTAATAACCCTACATCTTGAGATCAAGATGATTAATTCGAAGATTTTCCACCTTCGGATTACACTTGTATTGGATGTTTTAGGTGCACCTTGCTTCTATATTATAGGTTGGAACTTTATATAAATTTCTTACTCCTCTACATGTAAGAAAAAACTTAAAATGTTAAAAAAAAAAAAGAAAGCTCCAAATAAAACCCCTTCCAAAGATAAAACTCTGGACCTGTTGGGAGACATCAACTTCCAAGAAATTAAAGCCTCAACATCATTTCCCCTTCTCTAAAAATTTTCACAAGATGAAAAAAATGTGGAAAACATCCTCCCCCAGTATATATTTGTTGCAAATGACAGTGTTAGGTGGTCAAGCCAAATGATATTGTGGCACCTACTCATGATATAGAAAACATTCATTACATAACGGTCATACTTACATTCATATTTTTGGAGTTTAAAATTTTATAGTTACATATAAAAATAGATTTTGAGATAAT